CTCTGGGAGCACCTTAGCAATCAAGAAGCAGTTGATATTGTCCAGAACAATCCACACAATGTAAGAGGGACATTTTCTGATTGCTTTACTGGTGTATGTGTTTCATTGTTTGATGCTCCAGGCTTTGCATGGAGGCCTGTACATAACTAATCTCATGCCTGGCATGGAATTTATAGTGTCTGGGATAGTGCCAATGCATTTAATTTATTCCCTGCATTTATATATGATCGACTTATAGACCTAGGATGAATGTTATTGAACACTAATTAGTGGAAGATTATGCTACATTAGTCTTAATGATAAGCTATTTATCAACCATTAAAGGGGCATATATTAGAATGCATACATTATACCATTAAATTATTTTGAACCTAACAATAGCTTTTTTTTTTTTTTTTTTTTTTAAATACATTACCTCTCACAGTTCTGTAGAACTTTATAGTGGTACAGAAAGTATTTATTTCAGGGAATTTCTGTATCGTGGGGACCTTGTATTTTACAGAATTCTATATTGTGGGTTCTTTTTTTTTTTTTTTTTTTTTTTTTTTAATTTTTTTTTAGTTTTTAAGCTGACCCTAAACTATCAATTATTAGTGTTTTGTGATTTTTTTTGTCAAAACATTGTTTACAGAATGGTTTTTATTTATTTAAATTAAAAATTATCTTTTCATTTTTTTCTACATAACCAGCGACCACCTTCCCCACCACCCTAGAAAAACTAGCAACCAATCCCCATCTCAAGAAGGCCAAAGCACCCACCTCTGCCTCTCCTCCCCCTTCCCCCCCCCCCCAAAAAAAAAAAAAAAACACACACACACAGAGACGCACCATTCTTGCTCCTGTCTTCAGATTTTTTTTCGTTTCCTCATCCCGTACTATCACTCACTCTCTTTTTCAAAAATGGCATTATTTTACTCTCCACAACCGCTTTCACAACCACTGCCAAATTCAGATTACCCCGAACTTCCTTTAGTAATTTTCCTTTTACCTGCTTTGCCACCAACTCCGTCTTATTCCTTCTTCTACCGTGCTGGATTCCCGACCAAACCACAGCACAAATTGATGCAGAAGCCTCTATGCTGCTCACTAGCAAGAAATGGAGGTGGTGTGTGGTGAGGTGGTTGAGAGGGCTGTGGAGCTCTGGGTTGGGCAGTGGTGCATGGGTCAGGGGAGGGGAAAGGGAAGAGGAGGAGAAAAGAAACATGGTTATCATTCCTTTTTGTCAACTAGTTAAGTAGTTTGTATTTGGTAGATATTTTATTTGACGTGTCATCTTTTGAGAACCTATTGTTCTAAGGAATGCTCCGTATCATTTTTATCAAAGGATTTGCTTTGAAAAAATGAAGGTTAAACGAATGTATAAAATAAATTGATCAGTCATCAAAAAGTCTGAATGTGTTATGTTTGGTACTGTGATTGTGTTATTGGAGCTCTGTATTTATACTGATCATAATGTGGTTATGTGGGTGCTCATTATGTTGGATTATTTGCTACTGTTTCTTAAAGCGGGGAATGTAAGACATTTATATCTTGTTAATGTAGGGAAGTGCTAAAAGATTGGTAAAAACTGCATTGCAAGAAGCAGCTAAAAAAAGAGAGATGAGATACTCCGATTTGAAAAAGATAGACCGTGGGGTACGTCGGCATTTCCACGATGACATCACTGTGATAATTGTATTCTTCGATTCAAATCTAATATCCAGAGCTAGCTCAGTAAGGGGTCCCACATTGTCCCTCAGAGGCGGTGGTATCAGCCTCCCTGCAAAAACTCTAGCCCCCTGTGCCACGCCCATGGAAGTCGGTAACAGCTGATGAAAGGTTTCCTTTTTTTTTTTTTTTTTTTTTTTTTTTTTTTTTTTTTTCATGTTATTATCTCTGTTGTATCTAATGCCCCAAACCCTTTTTTCAGACTTCTCATCAGGTGATACACTATTTAGAAAGATAAAATGGAAGGTTCTGATCTTTTTTAATTTTAAATTCTTTAATGTAAAATGTAACATTTAACTCTGAGATAGCGTGTTAAATTATTTCGCGAGCAGAATGAAAAAGAAAGAATCTGGTCAAGGCAGCTCTGAAAGGTGATGAGAAAGATTCATTCTTTGGAACACTCCTCTACTAATCTTGATCCCATGGTCTTGAAACTCTGTAAATGCTTGTATTTCTTGTTATATGCGCTTGACATTTGTTCTTGTGCATGAAAGGCAGACCATTGTATGTATAGAGAAGATGAAAAATGGCGATGGAATAATGACAGGAGGAGAATTTGTTACGTGTATTTTGTTATTTTCATGGACTGCATTACTGTTAATAGCATACATGAAATTTCAGTTGGTGGATCAACCTAGGTCACTTGTGCAGGTCAGGAACCCTGTGATATGTAATCAGTTGATATCCATACACACTTGTTCCTTTGAGAAGTGTGTGTAATGTCTAATCGTGAGTCTCTAACGATTACTCTTATGAACGTTGTAAAGTCTCTAATCGCGAGTCTCTAAAATTTACTCTTATGATAATATTAGTAATATTGAAAGTTAAGTGGATATGTTTGTTCTGTAGGGGATAGACTTTGGCTCACTTTCGGGACCAAGGCTTTCTTTTGGGTGGCGGGACTTTTTAGCTGTAATATGATGGTGGGGGCTAAAATGCTTTTTATCTTTCTTGGTGTATCATAGCATGGAAGAATATGCATCCATTTCAATTATGTCAAGCCCTAAACCTATCATCAAGATTTTACAAAGATCTCTTAATTATTATGCACAATGAAATTGGTGAATTAGGTAAAGATTAGAGCTGGCAAAAGACCAAAAGTTACATGATATCATGGCCCCGAATCTGACTTCTATAAAACGGGTTAGTGTCAAGAGTGTACGATCCGTCTAATTAAACTGGTTATCATCAAACACGAGCACGACACGACACGTTTATATTCTTCACGAAGAATTGCTAGGCAATCGCGCTGAATTATATTTGAGCCTCGGTGATCCAATTGTTGCAATGGGCCTATCATTGGTCATTTGCTCGGTTATGAGGGAGGGACTAGAGAACGAACTCTTTTGTATGGAAGATGAAAAATGTATACTCAGTTTGATTTATTAATTTAGTATGGAGTATCTCACTGTATTTCTTAAGCTGGTATTATTTTTATAGAGTGCTTTCCAAAAGTCCTCTAAAAAAACTCCCAAAATTGGTAATAGTTTATGCCACTTTTGATCACTCAGGTGACTTACTTTTATGAAATGTACTAGTTACTATTAGAAGATGTGATGCAAATTGTAGTCTCTTTATATAATTAATGGTGGTAAAAAGGGGAATTACAATCACGCATAATTGACTTAATTTGCACATGCATTTTTATCCGTTTTCTTGATTAGACAATGGCAAAGGTCATTCATTAATAGATTTGAAAGTTTGGAGAATTGAAGAGATGTATACAACTGCTCGAACTCTCTTAGCGCATCCTAAGTTCAATGTTAGTATGGAGTAACAATATACCGCATAATTTTACTCCATTTATTTCATAAAACTCGGAACTTCACATTTTTATCTATCAAGTAGATTACCCTCTCCTGATATTTAATTTAACTATAATTGTTATCGAATTGGATTTCACCATCTCTTAAATACTATTCATCATGGATCTCATTAGGTAAGTGAATTTCATAATTATTTATTTATTTTTTAATAAAAACCTGTTCTTTTCTCCATTTCTTTTTCAATTTTAAAACTACTGCTAACACTAATAGTTATTATTCTATTAGGTAAAGCTTTGTTGATGTCATTAGGAAAATTTGTAACTTTTATCCATAAAACAAGTAGAATAAGTATATATGATTCTATGTGAACGGTATTTAGGAAATTAATTTTAAAGTCAATGCGAACAATAAATTAGTTTTTGGTTTTAGCACCATTCAAATAAATAGCTCTATTTTTTGATGATTTTACTCAAAATACAACAAATAAAATAGAAGTATTGTTCTCTATTGTCACATAAGAAAATTCCCTAGCCCATATATTAACTATAAACTAAATATACAACCCTTGCCTATGAAAGAGCCACTATTATTGTTAGAAAAGAGGGTGGTGGTGTGTTAATGCGGAACAAGTCAATGAAAAATAAAAATGAGAAAAACGATAAAAAAAATAAATTAAAAAAGAAGACACAAGAATTTATGTGATTCGGTCAATGTAAACCTACATTTACAGTACAGGTGGGAGATATGAGAGCTTCTTCCCTATAATGACGTAAGAACGAGAGAATAATAATGATACAAGGAGTCCTACATTTAATGGCTCTCTAGGGTGTGATCTAATTGATCACCTAAAGGGTCTTTTCATAACATAAGGAAATCTTAATAAACCTTCCAAGCATAAATCAAATTGCCATCATTGAAGAAACATGGTTTTAGGAAACATTCCAGAAAACACGATATGCTTAAGCCGGACTAAAAATACACCTCACTCGACTGGGCACAGACGTGCCAAGCTCAAAATCTGGAAATTTTGACCAAGTATGGATGTGCCAAGTCATTAGCAAATTTCAGATTCGTCAGGTCCTCATAAAACGACCATAATTTTCTCGTTATAATTTCTTATCGAGATTGAGCATATGACCTGTTGGAAAGCTTTTGAAACAAGCGATCACCTCTAGAATTCCTGAAACCTATTTATATTATGGATAAAAAGGGTTCATCACAAATTAATGATTGCATAGGTTCATTATATTTTCAAATCATGATACACAAAGATAATAAATAGGTTCATTATTATTATTATTATTATTATTATTATTATTATTATTATTATTTATTTATTTATTTATTTTTTGGTTTTCTAACAAAAAGGACGCTGCCATGAAAACAAAATACTATAACTTCAATAGTCACAAATGTGTCATTACTAACACATGAATACGCTTCATTACTTCATTCATAGATAATATTTCTAGCTATCATTAACAAATTTACATATCATAACTAAGTTAGTGATTTTTTGTAGGCAATTTTAGTAATAAGTGTTAAAATATGTACCATTGTTACAAGTTAATAAGTACATATATGCTCTTATTTTTATTATTTGCATCAATACAAAACACCCATGTAGTGTTAAATGATCATCTACTTTAATTATTACAGCATTATTACCAATTAACAAATGAAAAAAAAAAAAAAATCAATACATTGTCCGAAAACAAGATTCTCAAATTTATATTACACGTTAATGACGTCATACATCATAACCGCCTTTTCTACACGCTCCCGGCTAAACCCTATTACAAAAAGGCGGCAAACAAACGAACCCCCAATTTGTTATAAACAACCATAAATTCCAGCCACCAAAATAAAAAATCAACATAAAAAATTCTGTAATAATCCCACAAAATTATTAGGATAATTTGAATTTTAGTACCTCAAATATGGGGGTAATTGAATTTTAGTACCCATCTAAAATTTTATTTTAAATTAGTACCTCAAAAATGACTAAACTATAAATATCAGTACCTCCGTCCATGTTCCGTTAAGTTTCCGTTAGTGGGGCCCTTTATCTAATTATTTAATAATTTAATTTATTAAAAAAAAAACATTTTATACAAAAAAAAAAAAACTAAAAAAATAATTAAAAAAAAAAATCAGCCACACCGGCGCTGGCCACCCCTTCCCCGAAACCCTAGCGCAACCACCACCATCTTCCCTCCCTTTCTCGTTCCTGGCCGCGGCACCCCACCCCCTCCCTTTCCCTTTCCCTCCCTGTTTTCCCCTTCCCCTTCCTTGTTCCTGGCCGCGGCGATGTGGTGGATTTCAGATAAGGTGGGTTTTGAATTTGGGGTTTTAGGGTTCGTCGGTTGTGGGTTTTAGGGGTTTCTGGGTTCGTCGGTTGTGCGGTGGTGGGTTTTAGGGGTTTCTGGGTTCGTCGGTTGTGGGGTGGTGGGTTTCTGGGTTCGTCGGTGGTGGGGTTGTGGGTTTCGGGGGTTCGTGGGTGGTGGGGTGTGGTGGGTTTCTGGTTTCGGGTGTTCGTGGGTGGTGGGTTTATGGCACCCCTGGGCTTCCTGCCTGGCCGCGGCGGCAGCTGCTGTGGCTGGGCTTCCTGCCTGGCCGCGGCGGCAGCTGCTGTGGTTGGGCTTTGCTCCAGGGAAGGGGAAAACAGGGAGGGAAAGGGAAGGGGTGGCCGGCGCCGGTGCCAGGGGAATTCGGCCACCAACAGCCGGAAGCCGGCGCCGGCGCCGGCGCTGGTATCAGTGGCTGTTTTTATTTTTTATTTTTATTTTTAAAGTTTTTTTTTTATAAAATGTTTTTTCTTGTTTTTTTTTTAATTAATTAAATTATTAAATAATTAGATAATGGGTCCCACTAACGGAAAACTTAACGGAACTAGACGGAGGTACTGAAACCTATAGTTTTGTCATTTTGGAAGTACTAATTTAAAATAAAATTTTAGATGGGTACTAAAATTCAATTACCCCATATTCGAGGTACTAAAATTCAAATTTTCTAAATTATTACAAACATTGAATTTCATTACATTTTCCCTAAAAATACTGTATTCCTTTTTCTAAATCCGTTTTTTTTTTCTTCCAATTTTTACATCACATCATCAAATCAGTTCAGACCCCACCATAATTTTTTCTGGGTACTCCAAATTTCGTCGGGATTATAACATTCTCTCTCATAATTCCACTTTTTGTACTGAAATCCACCATTACCCAATTACCCACCTCTCAAATTCAGCACCCAAATCACCATTGTTGAACTAAGAGAGAGAAAATCAATGGGTTGTTCATATTCATCGCCATTATCGAAGAAGAGACTGAAGTACAGGTACTTAACTCCAGGTGTCGGTGTAGGTGGTTGTAAGGGTGTCGGAGGAGGTAAAGACGACATCGTTTCGCTTTGTAGAGAGAGAAAACGACTCGTTAAGAAGGTGGTGAAGCAACGCCACGCTTTCGCCGACGCACATTGTAAGTATTTTGAGTCCCTCTCTGCTGTTGCGGCTTCTGTTGCTGTGTTTGTTTCTCAGTATTCTTCTTCGACTTCGAAGTTGTTCATTGCGTTTGGTTCGTCTGATTCTACTGCGATTCCTCAATCTAATTCCATTTCCCGAATTCCGGGTAGTTCGGGGGAGAATGGAATTGAAGAAGAGGAGAGAGAAAATGGGGTTTGTGAGTTTTTTTATGGTGCTGTTGAAGAGGAATGTAAGTGGGATTTCTTTAATGTGGTTGATGAGAAGAAAAAGGTTGAAGAGAAGAGGCAAATTAAGGAGGAATTGAAAGAGGTAAAACAGGGGAATGAGAATGGAAGGGAAATTAAGGAGGATTTGAAAAAGGGAAAACAGGGGAATGAGAAAGGGAACGGAAGGGAATTGTTGGAAGCGTTGAAAAATTTGGAGGAATATTTTCTAAGAGCATTTGATTCTGGGAAGGAGGTTTCAAAGATGTTGGAAGTTACTACGATTTCTTCATACCCTGATATCAAAGGTATTATTTCATTACTTTTTTAATTTTTTAATCTGGATTAGTTAACAAATTTATGAGAAATAATCACGGGTCGATTGATGTAATTACAACGAATCTTAGTTGATCCTTAGGGCTGCTACTCTTTTTTTTTTTTTTTTTTTTTTTGTTAGTTCTATTGATTTGTAGTAATTTTGTTGACTTTTGATTGTCACCCTTTTTAGAAATTTTAATGAATATGCCTTGATCACATAATATTCTAATTTCATGTTATGAGCATATGTTGCTTCTATTATAATAATGTGGATTGTTACATGTATTTGTTAAGGGCTACTATTTGTCTATTTGAATTTTGATGCAATAATTAACAATTCTGTAATCTGCTTATTTGCATGCATTATCTCACAATGTACTAATTTTGTAAGGTTTTGGATTGATAACTTTCTGTATGTGCTTTCATTTCGCTCAATAGATTTGGATTTGAATCTTGTTTGTTATGAATGTCTTTGTGTTGACGGGTGGCTACTGTTACATGTATCAGACTTTTTCAAACCCTGTGGAACGAGGAGAGGCGTGCTCGTATGTGTAGTACATGGAAACCGAACCTTATGTAGTTATTTTTCATGATTAGTTTCCATGTGAGATGTGAGGTGAGAATTGAGAGATTATGTATGTCATAATCTATCTAGGCTTCCGTCTTCAGGGGAAGTTTACTTGCTTGATGTTGTAAATTTTCATGAACAATGTATATCTCTTACAGGAATTCCGAAAACTTATGCAATAAAAAGCTTATTACCCTTTCCATGGTTGGGAATTCCTGGCTCGGTTATTCTTGTAGGTTTTGGTAACTAATCTTTGTGGTTTGTGATCTAGTTTTTATATTAAATTCACGCTGAAATATAATTCAAGTATAAGGTTCTCTTAGCTGTTACTGTTACCAACAATGAGAGTGGAGTATTGAAATAGATGTAGGATCCTCATGCATAGGGTCAAATGGATTTTGGTTTTAATGTATTTTTGAAAATATAACAAATGGCACTCATACTCTTTTTTGACTCCTTCAATTTGGGTGCAGAAAATGCAAGTAGGAAAAGATCTATCTCATCTAGATCTTCCTCTTGTAAGAGTTTTCTTTCGTCTAGCTCAAGGAGTACTTCATCAACTTGGGCGGAGAGTGGAGGTGATCGTAAGAGCTTACTATCATGTAGTTCAGATATTTCTTTGACAGTGAAGGAAAACAGAAATGATCTTGATGGTCGCTGTGGAATGGTATCTGGTAGTCACTCTTTTACCCTAGGAAGGTTGTATGCTTGGGAGAAGAAGCTCTATCACGAAGTTAAGGTAAACTTTTAATTTCTCCTATGTTTTCAATCATTTAAGCAGCTTATGGTCTTTTGCTTTAGCTCTAAACAGCCTCCTAGTTTTGATAAATGTTTTTTTTTTTTTTTTTTTTAAGGTTAATTTTTAAATTACCACCCTCAAATGTAACTATTTTTAAACTAACCACCCGTTTAATTTTTTATTTTAAATTATCACCCCTTAAATTAAATAAATACTCAGATTACCACCCATTTCAAAAATCCGGTGGATTTTTCGTCTATAAGCCCAACCTAACACTTATTTTGACCCTTTTGACTGTTTTTTTCCTCGATTTTTTTTCTTTTTAAAAATGCTCTCTATACTTTAATTCACATTGCCTTCACCAAATTCTACCAAATTTCAAAGAGAAAAATGTGAATTGAAGTTAAGAGAGCGTTTTTAAAGATAAAAATCGGGGAAAAAATTAGTCAAAAAGGTTAAAAAAAGCGTTAAGTGGGGCACACAAACGGAAAATTCACCGGATTTTCGAAATGGGTGGTAATATGAGAATTTATTTAATTTAAGGGGTGGTAATTTAAAATAAAAAATTAAACGGGTGGTTATTTCAAAAATGGTTACATTTTCGGGTGGTAATTTAAAAATTTTCCTTTTTTTAATTTTTATTTTTAATCTTTGTTTATTCACCATATTGCCATTCTGAAATCTGCTGAATTCTTACTAATTAGATTTCTCTGGCTTAAGAATTTCTAGCCCATTTATTAAGTTATTGATCAGGAGAATATTAATCTGCTGTACTTGAACATCTGTGTTTGACTTTGTTACTAAACATGACATATTCCTGTCCATTGTTTTGTTTGTTAAATGTTTTTTGAATAATCTGATTGTCAGGCTGGGCTACAAACTCAGAAAATATACAAGAAAAAATGCTCACAATTGCAGCAGAAGGATGTCGAAGGAGATGACTTGTGCCCATCTAAAGCCTCGTCTGAAGTTACTGGTCTTTACCATCTGATGTTGGTTGCTCTGCAACGTGCTGAGTCAATCTCTAATCAAATCGAGAAAGTTAGAGATGAAGAGCTCCACCCTCAACTTTTTGAACTTCTACATGGGTAAGAAACAAGGGAACTTATGAGATATTACATGAGCCAGATCTTTGTTCCAATTGTAGCATTTAACCTTTTTCCCTTGTGTTTTGTGCAGTCTAACAAGAACTTGGAAGTCAATGTCAGAAACCCATGATCTTCAGAGAAAGATTATGCGAGAAATCAACTCATTTAGCTGTCCAGAACACAGAAAATTCAGCATTGACTCTCACTGTCTAGCTGCTCATCAACTAGAAGCTGCAATTCAGGATTGGCAATCTAGCTTCTCAGACTATGTCTCTACACAGAAAGCCTATGTAAAATCTCTTCTTGGTTGGCTGTCAAAGTTCATTGATGCAGAATCCGAATATCACTATGCTAGCAGATTTTCACTCCCACCAATGAGATTCAATGGGCCACCTTTGATAGTAACTTGTAAGAGCTGGTCAACTTCTTTGGAAAGGTTGCCAGATAAGTCAGTGAAACATGCCATGAAAAGCTTGGGGAAGGATTTGCAAGCATTGTGGGTTCAGCAGGGATTGGAGCAGCAACAGAAACGGAAGGTTGATGGACTTGATAAAGAATTGAATAGGAAGATTCGTACTTTAGGAAAAACTGAGGATAAAGCACTTGTAGCTAAATACACAGCATTCCACAAAGTGGAGGAGCAAACTGAGTCTCTTGGTGAGAAGGAGCAGCTCGAAATGTTTAAACAAAAAGTCGAAACAGAGAAAGAAAGATATCACAGCAGCATGCAGGAGACAAAACGGATAACAATGAATAGTCTTCAGATGGGTTTTTCCTCAGTTTTTGAGTCACTGGCTGATTTTTCAAGAGCTTCTGCCAAAGTTTATGCTAATCTTGTTACATATTCTCATAACGCTAATGGTTTGAAACGGGCATAGACTTGCAGATAAGTCCATTTTCGTAACAATCTGCTATAACTGTCAGATACTTACAGTATAGTTGTCACTTGAGTTCTTTATTTGAGATAGTTTGGTGGATAGATAATAACATATGCTGGGAGTTACGTGAGTATTTTCTCTCAAGAAATGAAAGCAAGTAAATAGCAGATCTTAGTATTTTAGTCTTTGTCATAGGAAGTACATGCGAGATTTTGTTTGAATATTAATATTATCCGAAATGGGTAATAAATTGAGTATTAATGTTTTTAAGTGGAATTTTACGCTGCTCCTGGTTCCTGAGGAGATGCTTTGGTACTCCTCTGTTCAATCCATACTTGTATGTAAACTGTGTTAAAATGCCGGTCGATGCGTGATTTGCATTAATGTGGCTAGTTAAAATCACTCTTGCTTCTTTCACTTTTGCAGTTTGCTTGCTAGTATAACCCCAACAGTAGCATTATTTTATATTTGATCATACAACATCAAATGATTCAAGTGAAACTAATATATGATATCTCAAAATAATGGGAAAATGAAGTGATCTGAAGAGCACATCATGTCATCATACCCTTTGCTTGATTCTTTGTCAGTTTACGTATGTCAGATAATAGATTGGAACATTCAGTTTTGTCAACTCTGATAAGAAAAAATAATTAAAAAGCATAAATCAAGATAAATCTAATAGGACACATGGCTATGTATATTATATTTATATGTTAGATACAAATGATAGTCAAAGATGAATGTATAAATAGTGAAAAAGTTTAAATGGTGTAAAATGCATTTTGCAAATACATGAGGTTATTTGATGAATTGATGGTGTGACGAAACAAAATTATAGCTTAAATGGTAAACACAATTTTTTTATATTATTATTATTATTATTATTATTATTATTATTATTATTATTATTTTATTTTATTTTATTTTTTAATAAATAAAAATGACTTTATTTTGAGGCATTTGCACGAAGGAGAGAAAAATTGGCTTGGCCCTTTCAAAAAAATAAAAGAACATTTAACGTGAACACGTGGTATTATTTCTTGGTATTAAGGCCTTATTTTATTCATCTAGTATAGATCAAGATAGTTGAATTGATTTTATCTAAAGATTTATTAGTATCAAAACATATATCTATAACTCTATAGCTTATAGGAAATAGTCAAATAAAATTTTTATCCAAATTTAATTGTTACATTTCTATTTGAAATTATATACGAAGTATATATAGACTGATCCCTAATACGGAGTATATCATTACGCTAGGGAATCTATTACTCGGGCATTGATTTTTACAGACTTTGATGTTCTCAACTTGAGTAAAAAAGCTTTGATATAACTTATGGTGAGCTTACACACAGTTGTAAATTGGCAAATTTCACATGCTTAGTTAACGAAAAAAATCATAAATTATGAATTATAGGCCTTTAATTAATTACTAGTTCCTGTGATATGACTGCATTATCTCTTTTTTGAAAACTTTTCAAATAAAGGTGTCACATTTCAAGTGTTTTAATGCACATATTTATATTATTCCACCTAGCTAACAAATTTCAAACAAAAGAAATAATGTTGTTCACGTATCAATTTTATTTTCTTTCCTTAGTGACTAAAAATATACAGTTCCTGTTGTCTGATTGACAATAGACGACACTTGTTTAATTAATTGTACAATTCAAGTACTGTACTATTTATTCATTTACTTAGGACTTGCACCTCATAACTCAAGCCTCTTCATTAATTTCTTCCACTTTTGAAGTAGAGTTGTCAATTTCACTTTAGCCAACTCTTCGAGTCCTGCTTTATGACAAAGAGGCTTTGGGAGGTCATGTGGGTAGCATTGGATTCACTCCCAGAGCGCAGGGGCAATGCCGCCTTGCGTCATGAGATATATCGTTTGAGAATGACTAGAGCCTACAACAAAAGAGTGCACAAACGACCCTTAAAAGTGGGGGACTTTGTGTTACGGAAAATAGAGGCAACCAATAGGGAAAATGAACAAGAAAAGTTAAATCCTAACTGGGAAGGCCCCTACCGGATCTATGAAGAAGTAAGAGGCGGCACCTACCACCTGGAAACCCCAAACGGCAAGCAGCTAGTCAGAACTTAGAACGTAGACAACCTAAAAAAGTACTACTTCTAAGACTCCCAAATTTTTGTAAATAAAGTTTATCAATGAAAAGTTGCTTTATTTTCAATCATATTTATTGTTTTCTGTATGAATACCGTCTGTGCAATGTACAAATGGACTTGTTAAAATTTTATGTCTGCTCCAACATGAGTAGAAATAAGCTAAGTCCAAAAACTTAACAGCTATGTGTTGTTCCTTTTGGAACAACCTAATGAGGCCAATGGCCGGATGACATTAATGAGGCCAATGGCCAGATAATATTGAAAACCAGCGCCTGCTCCAACATGAGTCTGGCGACACCCATCCGGGTGAATTCGTCGCAGAGAGCATCTCCAATTTGGGTGGTACATTGCTCTACAAACTTAAAAACAAGCGGCCCTACCGATTGTCTAGATTAAGATAACTCGCAGCCGTTTGAATGATCAATTGAAACTTGGATAACTTTGGCTACCGCCTGTTCTATAATAATTGGTAACCGGTTTCTAGGTCGGATATAACCGGTTGTTGCTCAAAAGCACTACAAACGGTTAAAATTGAAGATCCAAGCTAAGTCGGAACCTTAGCAGCTAAAACAATACTCGTTTAAAGCAACTACACACGGCCAATGGCCGCTTGCTACTAAACGTTAACCCGCCTGCTACTAAACGTTAACCCGCCTGCTCCATCAAGAGCAAGACATTCGGCGACTAAATTCATCATAGAAATCAACAAGCAAAGAGTGATTAATCCCAAAAGGATTAAATTACAGCCGGTTGACCTAAATAAACTAAGAAGGAACCTAGACGCCATAGTAAAAACCGCATGTCTTATTGACACCAGCCGGTATTCTCCTATCATTCCAACTTAGAATAAAACTGAAAACTAATTCAGACGCGGTCAATGACCGTCTAACATTCAGCCCGGATGCTCAATGGACGACTGACTTCTTGGTTTGGCAATCACCTTGGTGATTGATTGACCTAGAAATCAGTCATACCCCTTTCAGGGATCAAAATTTCTAGGTTAATCAATGCACTTTCGAAACCAAGCGTACATCCGTCCAGGGGCAAACACTCCAACTGCATCTGCATGTATTAGGCTAATTGGCAAAAAATGTGCATGTTGAAAAAATTGCAGATTGAAAATTTAATGCAAGTTGCAGAGATTGGTAAAACCAACACAGTCAGCAAATCATAATATAAAAAATCGACCAGGAGAGAAACTGTTAACCGGATCCACATCCGGAGAAATAAGAATGTTGTGGAAATACAAGAAATACACGGCATGCAGGCCGAAAGTACAGGCAGCAACCATAAGCTGAAACTACTGAGACGAAGTTGGGGGAATATCCTTAGTAGGCGGAGTTGGGGCAGAGTTCACTTGGGCTTCAACCTCAGCCTCCTGGTGCTCTTTTTCCTTTTCCTGCTCTGCGTCATCATCATCATCACCCTCCTTGCCAGCTGAAAGCTCCTTCTTGACCCACTCTTGGAAAGGCTTAGGTTCCGGCTCCCCTCCAACCCTTGCTGAGAGGACAAGATCTGAGTATCTATAGGCTAGGTCCCAGACGTTGTACTCAACCTCCGGATACACCAGCTCCCAAGCCATCCTCATCCGGTCTTTGCATTCCTGCTCATTCTCCCCGATGAGCCGGTTCTGCTCAGCCTCTAGAGTGGCCTTGAGCTGCTTGATGGAGTCCGTCTGTGACCGCTCAGCTTTAGTCTCAAGATCATGAATTAGCATTTGATACAGAGCAACGTCAGTGGTATCAGACGCATCTCTCTTGGCCCGGCTTACCTCTTCCTGCTTCCGGGCATACGACTTTTTTAGCCCCTCTACTCGCAGCATCGTCTGTATAAATGCAAATAGTGTTAGAAAAGTAGCCGACAATACACTTGAAAGAAAGTAAATAAAACTACTGTACCTCAGACAGCATAGCAAGGATGCGGTCAACATTAAATGTATGAATCTCGGGGATGGCCTGCTTGTCCTCCTTGGGGACAGCGTTCAGCATGGCCTTAGAGTATTGTTGTACATCCGGCCACCGAGGGGATTGATCTGCACCAGAAGTTAGATATGGTGAGAAAGCTACATAGGCGCCACCAACAGACCGCTGGCTGCCCAAAGAATCCTCTGATTGAAGCTGAGAATGTGACTTGACTCGCATGGGCCAACTCAGCTCAAAGGGAGAGTTGAAGGGGTCAACAGTACCTTGGGGATAAGGTTGTAGGCTCAGACCGCCTACTACTGCTGCAGAACCGCTTGCAGCTTTGGGTGGTTGGCCACCCTTCGGTACCTCAGAGGCACCCGACTGGAAAGAAAGGCCAATCCCCAGACTGACATTTCTGATAATCTTTCCCCCAACGGCCAGACGACTTTTGTCAAGCGGAACCCTGAAAGTTGTTTGAGCAGACGTTTTTCTGGATTTATTGGAGCTGGTGACCTCGTCACCTGACCTCTGTTTGATTAACTTGGAAAGGGATCTAGGATCTCCCTTGCCCCCATCTTGAAAAAAGAACCAAATGTTAAGCAAATAGTCGGAGCCAGGCATTAACCATACAAACGGATCATCATCGTCTATAAGCATACATAACAAAGCTGCAAGGTTGAATATGGGTCAGGCAGTTTATACCTGGTCTTTGGCCGCTTGTGTGGCTTTCTTCTTCTCCGCTTTTTCTTTGCGGATGTCTACTACAGAACGTGCAGGCGTTTTGATCTCTGGCATCATTCTTGTGGCAGTTTCTACAAAAGGGAACCGTCTGTCAAATTATCGAGTAAACATCACAAGTTAAAAACAATAAAGACAACAAAGCATTGCCGAATGCATGGTCTACATACGTCTGTCGAATTTGGTGCTCAACCCACAGGCGGATAGGAACGCCTCATCTCTCAGAAATTCGTGCTTGGGTACCCAGTTCTTGGGTACGCTTATTAATTCTCTGGTTGAGAGAGCGGTGGTTGTAAGTTCAAAAAACCCTGCCTCTATTATTTTTTCATAGTCCTCATCCGAGACTTGGGGAAATTTGCACGTTTGCCCCAATAGATCCGGCTTCTTGTTGAACGGGGGTGCGGTATAATAAGTTCTCTCGCCGCTTGGGGGCAGAAACCAGATAAAACCGGTTCTTCCAATCAGACCACTTAGACAGTTTGTCAAGGGTCATCAAATATTTGGGGTAGGTGGTTAAGGTATACCACGCCCGCCAGCCGCCTGGGCTACAGCTCAGATAATGCATGTGGGAAAAAGCCTCC